TGTCTAGAGAAGAGTCTTGTATTAAACTCATACTCTCACCTTCCCCCCACCCCCACTTTTTCCTATAATTTTACCCATTTTTTTCCAACAGAGTTTCCGTATTTAGGGACACAATTTCTCTATGTGGCTTCTTTATAGAGGGCTGCTCTGCCTTTCTTTTTTGGTTTTTGGTTTTGAACAAATAATAATCTCTGAGTTCAATATTTTTATCATGAATCTCACCCCACCAGGTTTCCATGATATCTAACAGTCAGTTTTGCCTTCCTCTAATAGGAGTTTAAGTTCCTTCTTTGTGTTACTCATACATGGTGCAATGTTTCACAGACAGTGGAGACACCACCATTGATTGGGTTTCCTACCACTGGGTGTTGTGTGTTTCAAAGTACCCTTTCCTGCCTCTTCCTGCTTTCATAATCATGCACAGCTTTGTTCCTAATGCTCAGTTCCTCTAGCTGAGCCTGTGTTTTTGCTTCTCTCTCCTCACCCCTTTCTTTTTTCCTTTGTATCCTTTTATCCTTTTGGGTAATTCTGAAAAATGCTTGGGTTCATGTACGAGACTGGGATTAGAAGTGATGTGAATAGAAATTTTCACTTTTTTGCCTTCATCCATTAAATTCCATAGATAGTACCTAAATGTCAAGACAATGTAATACTTGAATGTACCACATGATGTCACCCTTGCACTTCAAATTGCCAGGCGAATAATAATTATTATTGAAATAATAATAATAATCCTTACTGGCTCTAGGGTGGGGAAAAGCATATGGAAGGAATCCAGTTAGCCAGAACAGAGCTGGAAGTCAGTGTCACTCATTTGTTGTCCTTACTACAAGTAGTCCTTGATTAACAACAGTAATTGGGACTGGAAATTCCACCGCTAAGCAACATGGTCCTAAAGTGCAACGTCAGGTGACCATTCTGGCACTTCTGGTTGTTGTCATTAAGTGAGTCCCATGACATCATTAAGCATAATGTCGGGCGGTCGCCATTTGTGACCTCCTACTGGCTTCCCTATTGACTTTGCTTGTCAGAAGCCAGCAGCGAAGCCAACAGCGATTGCAAATGGTGATCATGTGACCGCAGGATTCTGCGATCATCGTAATCATGACCCAGTCATCAAGCACCTGAATCACAATCACATGACCATGGTGATACTGTGACGGCTGGAACTATGAGGACCCATCATAAGTACCACTTGTTCAGTGCCGTTGTAACCTCCAACAGTCACTGAACAAGTGGTCATTAAGCAAGGACTATCTGTATTCAAATATTTAACTTTATAAGTAAATAATCACCACCCTGCTAATTGTAGCAGAAAAATGCTTGTCAATTCCTTCCCAACTTGCCTTATTTTCCTCTAATCCAAGAGTGTAAAAGGTGCAGCCCCTGGGCAGAATGTGGCCAGCAAGGCCAGAGCACATTTTAGACCCTCTACCTTTTAACCCAATAATCCCAGCCCTCTGTGTCCCCACTCATCCCTCCCCTGTATTAGCAGGGCAAGTGGATCCAGCCCTTTTACTGTATAAGCAGACAACATAATGTCTGTCTCCCAAATGGGAATGAGAAATATACCGAGAGCTTTGGCGGCACTCTGCTCAGAATAAAAACTAGTAATACATTAGCAGAAAACAAAAGTCGTGGTATTTGCATGAAAGTATCATAACATTCATGACTGGCAAATTAACGGGACACTATTCAGCAGGTATGCACTTATAAATACCCTGGATTGCTGTTCCAGGCCTTGTTGTCCTTGAAAGAGCACTTTCTATATCTGGCAAGTGCTGCTCAGTGTAGCCCATCAGCTGTCCTGAGTTTTTTCCACTCAAAATGAGTCTATTTTATCTCTGCATCTTGCAAGGTCTTCCTAGCCTAGGTCAACTTCCAGCTCTTCTACACTGTACTTTTAGAAACCTTGACATCCATGAAGCCATTCCATTTACATTTATTAGAACTATCCTTGCAGTCCCAACATGCACTAAAAATGTCCCCTTTCTTTAGAAATGGGCTTGGACTCCGTGGATGCTAGAATTTGGTATCATCTTTTAAACTTTTGGCTAACGTTATCCTTTTCCCTGGCTACTTTGCTCCACTCTACTGAAGTAGAGACTACTTTAAGTCAACCCAGTTAAAAAAAAAAAAATGCCAGCTTAATTCCCTAGGGCTGTCATTGGAGAGCCATTGCCCGTTACATTTTGGTAACATCAGAAGTAACCTTAAATACCATATCTGGGACATTGATTTTCAGATCAATCTATGTCTGGTTCCTAACCATGTAGGAACCCTGGGGTCTTTTCAAAGAGGTATGTGCTGGCTTCAACCTTTTATCCATCAGTACTGTTTCTCAACCTTGGCAGCATGAAGACGTGTGGACTTCAACTCCCAGAATTCCCCAGCCACTGCTGTACCGTACAT